CTTGGAACAGTGAATCAGTCATACAGTACAAATGGCATGATACAAGCAGTAGTACTTTTAATTCATTAGTATTAATTCAGTTGATTGATGATCTATCAACTACACATGAGGCTTTAAGCAAAACTGAACAAGTGCTGACTATCCTAAAGTGATTCAAATTCCAGTGTTCCAGTTACATCACAGCATATCAGCTTGGGGTTGTTCAGTTACTTAATTTACAGATATCAAATGAATGACGTTTTTTTGCGTATCATAGGATGGAATATCTCTCAAGATCGATTGAAAGCATTCAAGACTCGATTATCAGCCAAAACAGATTCAATCAGACAAAGGGTCCAGCAATTGGATAATACTGAAAACTAGCAAACAATCTATTCATGGTTATTGTTAAAACAAACAGTTCTTCCAATAAAATACAAATAATTTCTTTAACCACTGCATACCCACTGAATCCTTCATGAATGCAATACCATACTGTTAAAGATTTCATGGCATCATTGACAAAGGAATGTTTCTGATGTCTTCATCAGTATGAAAGGTAAACCCAAAAATGACCGATATCCAAGTTTCTTGTGCAGACTCTCTGTCTGAAGATGCAGGTGTGTGGAGGGATCTGATGTGTATTCAACCAACATACAGACTTTGTGTTTTGATTTTTTCCCCCAAAGCAAAAACAATACTGTATGCACACCCCACCAGGAACAGCATTTCAACATATCCATATAGTCTGCCAGTTTATACATTGTTAATCATGTTGATACACTATTTTGTAATGTAAATTGTTCAGTGTATATTTTCAATCCATTTTGTTAATTGAAAATGTCATTCGGTTTTCTATGTATCAATTTTCTGCAAACTCTCATCATTACTGACTGTCACCACAATCAGGTAACCTGCAGATGGATCTCCCTGTTAAATGTCAATGGCAAATTAGCAGTTTTAGGAATGTGGTAATGGACATAGCCAGATATACAAGAGTTCTGGGCTTCACTAGGAGGAAATGTTTCAAACCATTTGCTGTGGACAGTACATGATGTATCTACCCTGTCATTGTGTCAACCGAGTCATTGTTTGTGTCAACCGAGCCATTGTTTCTGCCCAGTCATTGTGTCCACCAAGCCATTGTTTATGCCCAGTCATTGTGACCACCAAGCCATTGTTTCTACCCAGTCATTGTGACCACCAAGCCATTGTCTCCACCAAGCCATTGTTTTTGCCCAGCATTGTGACCACCAAGTCATTCTTCCCAGTCAGTCATTGTGACCACCAAGCCATTGTTTCTCCCAGTCCCAGTCATTGTGCCCACCCAAGCCATTGTTTCTGACTCCCAGTCATTGTGTCCACCAAGCCATTGTTTCTGCCCAGTCATTGTGCCCACCAAGCCATTGTTTCTGCCCAGTCATTGTGTCCACCAAGCCATTGTTTCTGCCCAGTCATTGTGCCCACCAAGCCATTGTTTCTGCCCAGTCATTGTGTCCACCAAGCCATTGTTTCTGCCCAGTCATTGTGTCCACCAAGCCATTGTTTCTGCCCAGTCATTGTGACTACCAAGCCATTGTTTCTGCCCAGTCATTGTGACCACCAAGCCATTGTTTCTGCCCAGTCATTGTGACCCACCAAGCCATTGTTTCCCTGCCATTGTTTCTGCCCAGTCATTGTGCCCACCAAGCCATTGTTTCTGCCCAGTCATTGTGTCCACCTAAGCCATTGTTTCTGCCCAGTCATTGTGCCCACTGCCCAGCATTGTGTCCACCATGCCCAGTCATTGTGTCCACCAAGTCATTGTTTCTGCCCAGTCATTGTGTCCCAGCCATTGTCATTTACTGCCCATTGTTTCTGCTCCAGTCATTGTGCCTGCAAGCCATTGTTTCTTGCCCAGTCATTGTTCCACCAAGCACCAAGCCATTGTTTCTGCCCAGTCATTGTGCCCACCAAGCCATTGTTTCTGCCCAGTCATTGTGTCCACCAAGCCATTGTTTCTGCCCAGTCATTGTTGTGCCCAGTCATTGTTTCCCAAGCCATTGTTTCTGCCCAGTCATTGTTTCCACCAGTCATTGTGCAAGCCATTGTTTCTGCCCAGTCATTGTTTCTGCCCAGCCCACCAAGCCATTGTTTCCACCCAGTCATTGTGACCACCAAGCCATTGTTTCTGCCCAGTCATTGTCAAGCCATTGTTTCTGCCCAGTCATTGTGCCCACCAAGCCATTGTTTTCCCAGTCCCAGTCATTGTGCACCACCATTGCCATTGTTTGTGTCCACCAAGCCATTGTGCCCACCAAGCCATTGTTTCTGCCCAGTCATTGTGCCCACCAAGCCATTGTTTCTGCCCAGTCATTGTGCCCACCAAGCCATTGTTTCTGCCCAGTCATTGTGCCCACCAAGCCATTGTTTCTGCCCAGTCATTGTGTCCACCAAGCCATTGTTTCTGCTGAGTCATTGTGTCTGTCTGTTCGTTGTGACCACCAAGCCCCTGTTTCTGTCCAGTCTATCTATTGTGTGCAACCTTGTTGTTGATTCAAATTTGCCCTTCAGTCTCCAGGAACTTATTTCAACAATTTTAACGACGTCATCAGTACTGAATTACATGCAGCTTTGATCTCTAGAATTTATCAAAGAATTTCCGGTTGCTGGTATATATGAGTGATTGTATATTAAATATTATATGAGTAATAACCTTTAAGTCTTCATAGGTCAGCTCATGTTGATTTTTACATGGTCAGTTTTATAAGGAATGTTTAGTAATGTTCAAAGGCTTGAGCAAAAAGAGAATTTTGTCACATACTTAGTTTTTCTTGTGTTTGTTTCAGTTGTACCCATGTGGGAATCGAACCTGGGTCTTCAGCGTGACAAGTGAACGCTTTAACCACAAGGTTACCATTCAATTTTATTCAATTGAACCAAGAGATTTTACTGTCAATGTACAGATTCAAATTGCAAGATAAATTAAACCACCTGAGTCTTTCATGTAAACATTACTTTTACTGACTACAGCAAATCTCTGCTGACTACTGCTGACTACAGCAAATATCTGCTGACTACTGCTGACAACTTCAAATTTCCATAACTTCCCCTTTAATCATCCAAATCCTTATCTTCTTTGAAATTTAAATATGTCAATCAGCTTTGTATATAGCAAGTTAGATTACTTTATGTGCACAGACAGAAACAACTGTATTCTTTCTGTTCATTAAATCAAAAATTCATTTACCAGTATAGATATCAAGCATCAAAATAAGCAATATTGTGAAATCAAATTAAAGATATCGATTAGAGTCAAGCCTTTATTGGCATCACAAACTTGATCTAAGATGTATATCACATTCTGTTTTAGTTATTATCAACCTAGAATTTAACTCATGACCTTTACAAATGAAATTAGTGATATTTTTAATCATGTTGTGGAAAATTCAAAATAGGGGCAGCTTCCATGAAAAGTACAATAAGTATGATTAGTTAGAGAGCAAGTTGATATGAAATCTACTCAGAATAGGATTAGTTAGGCTGTGAGTCAGTTAATGATCTAATATGACCAGGTAGAGAATGAGTTGATTAATGATTGACTCAGAATATGACTAGTTGGAGAGTGAGTTAATTACTGATCTATTCAGAATATGACTAGTTGGAGAGTGAGTTAATAACTGATCTGCTCACAATATAACTAGTTGGAGAGTGAGTTAATTAATGATACACTCTGAATAGGATTCGACAGAGAGAACATATGCATGATTATCAAAACTAAATATTTCAGTTTCAAAACCATTGCTATTATAATTTAACCATTCCAAACCTTCAATCTCCATCACTCACATTCACATACACAGTTTTTCCACAATATTGTACAATTCTCATCAATGTTCCTTCTGTGACGAGGCAGAAGCGACACATCCTATTTAAATGTTTAAAAAAACCAGTTCAGTCACCACTGGCTGTGTGATATTTGCTTGTGTAATAAATACTGAAATATCGTAAAAGTCATGCTCTGACAGTATTTAAGCTGTATGCCATACTCATCATGGCCTGATGATCCTATAGCCCAAACACACATGAAGCTTACAGTGAATCCTTACTTGTGCAAAACCTTCTTAATCTGGATTCCCTGCCCTCTTGTCCAGTGACTTATACCTTTATCTGAGTTCATGAATTTGATTTTTTCATTTGTCTTGTTCACTGAGGTTTGTTGTACAATGGGCCCTGGTATGTACATGAATAAGAAAGAGCACAGTTATAACATAATAAAGAGCAAAGATTATGTTTCCTGGATATTTATGCACATTAACGCCTCATGCAATTTTTCCACGAGCATGAACTCATCTTTACCAAAGACAGTCAAAGGGAGACAATCCTGATTTCTGTTGATGGTTAGAAGCCAAACACCTTAACTCCCTTTGGATAAATGAACAAATAATAATATCATTCTAAAAGAGAACATAAAATCCAAAGCATGCACGAATGCTGCATAAAAATGAAAAATGACAAAATCTAAACATATCTCCATTTTTTTAAATGTCAGTTTTGGGTAAATTATATTCATATCTTACCTTTCCATACAAAATGCCAACTTTGAATGGCAACAAATAACTCTCACAGGTGTGTAGAACAACTCAATGGAAGATGTAATGGGCTCACGGAACTAGTGTCTAGATTCTGTAATTAGTACCATGTTTGAATATTGTCCGTGTGATACAGGTTAGATTCTTGCTCTATAAACATATGAGTGCAATAATATTTGATTCAACCAGTTAAGTACATATTGCAATAATGTTTCAAAGATTTATTTCCAAGAAGAAGATGAGTTTTTCAGTGATAAGATTGACCTAATCTTGAGGGAATGTTGTTCAATGTAAGAGTATTCAACATCCAAGGTGGATCAAGGAAGCCAATGACACACAACAACCTCATTTACCGAGACCGATGGCCCCAGTTTGTTTAACATGCATGAGCTACTTGGGTTTTCTTTTGAGATGGAATCACCAAGGGAGAGATATACTGAGACAACTTACATCTGTTACACCATCCCACAGAGTGACAGACACCGGCCCTTTGAAGGTATGTCGGATGCCTAGTCTTTTGAATGTAACAGGGTGCAAAACCTGAAACCATAGAAAAATCAAATTTGTCAGATCAGACACATTGTCTCAGGGGAGGTGTGGAGGTGTGGAGGTGTGGAGGTGTGGAGTCGTGGAGGTGTGGAGGTGTGGTCCAGGCTAATGTCAGTTTTATGCTGCCAGCTCCCAGGAAGGAAGTGTCATAATGGACATTTGGACAACTGCTTGAGATCACTAGGTACCACCAGTATACAGTACTTGTGTGAAGTACACTTTGTATAAAGTGAGTGAGTGAGTTTAGTTTTACGTCGCACTCAGCAATATTCCAGCTATATGGCGGTGGTCTGTAAATAATCGAGTCTGGACCAGACAATCCAGTGACCAACAGCATGAGCATCGATCTGCGCAACTAGGGACCAATGACACGTGTCAACCAAGCCAGCAAGCCTTGCCACCCGATCCCGTTAGTCGCCTCTTATGGCAAGCTTGGGTTACTGAAGGTTCATTCTAACCCAGACCTTCACGGGTTACTTTGTATAAAAGGAAATATTTCAGTAGCATGAGTAATTTCTTAGTCAAGCTTAACACCACACTGAACAACTACATCAAACATGAAGACAAAAGAAAAAATATTCAAACTGAACCGTCTAATCACTCAGCCACTGGGGTGGAAACATTGGAAACAGTTTCTTGTATAAATTATTTAGGAAGAGTTTGTGAATATTTTATGTCTGTTTCAGTCACTTTCATTAAGTAGTGAAACAAACAACAGTAAACTGAACAGGTTTGTTTGTTTGTTGTTTAACACCTCACTCGGCAGTGTTTCTGCAGTGCGGCCTGTAAATAATCGAGTCTGGAACAGACAATCCAGTGTTCAACAGCATGAGCATCAATCTACGCAATTAGGATACGATGACATGTGTCAACCAAGTCTACGAGCCTGGCCACTTGATCCCATTAATCACCTCTTACAACAAGCATGGGTTACTGAAGACCAATTCTAACCCAGATCTTCACGGGTCAACTGAAAAGGTAAATATTCTACATTTCCCACTATTTTTTGTTGATGCATTGTCCAGTACACCAACAGCTTTATAAAATAATAGGTATAAAAATGATATATGTGATCTGTCATCTGTACTATGTTCTTAAAGGTTTAAAAGTATTGAATGGGAAAAAGTCACATTTTTATGATGCTCTACATCACAGAACATAACACAATCTCTAAGCAAATAGGACAGAGTATATCTACCGATATGGCTAATCTTCGTATGACAGTTTGGCTGGACACTTCCTCTGTGTGTATCTTTTGCAGGGAGAAAGTCGCAATGTCTGAATTGTCTGCAACAGAAACTGGATGGAAGAGTTGGGTGGGAGAAGTCCAAATTCACTAACTGAGTACCTACTACATGTCTCAAAAGTTTCATTCAAAAAGTCGAATTGGGAACTGTTTTACCTGAGACCTGGCCTAAAATATTCAGACACACACATGTACAATGATCTGATCAAGCATGATCTGAAGATGACCATACACTTTACTCCAACACATACAAGTCAGAAGATGTGCCAAATAGTGACACCTCTAAGTGTAACTGGTATTGGGGTGGTGGGGTGGCCTAGTGGTTAAAGCGTTGGCTCGTCACGCGCCAAAGACCCGGGTTCGAATCCCCACATGGGTACAATGTGCGAAGCCCATTTCTGGTGTCCCCAACCGTGATGTTGCTGGAATATTGCTAAAAGCGGCGTAAAACCAAATTCAGTCAGTCAGTCAGTCATTACTGGTATAAAACAATATATAACATGACTACACATGGGTCTTGGTAGTCCTGTGGGTACCCAGATTCTACTCTGTTTTACTGTACTCTGCAGTATAAACAAATCTACAGAATAATTCAACAAGAATGTGTACTGAAATCTTGCACTGCTACTAAATTTGAAATGTTCCTGTTATACTTAACAACATGATACAATACTTTTTTAACAGTTACTTGGTTGAAACTGACATCAATCCACATGCAATTATCTGATTGACAAGAACATGCCGAGCCACCCAAGGGGACAACTTACCTGGTACCTCCGGTGTCCACTCTTCACAGGTGTGCGGGTCAAGTCGATCAGGAGGTGGGATATCACAGGCTGCATCTCCCACAACGAAGAAAGCCTTTACACTTAAATGTGACAAAAAGTTTCAGTTATATATTTTACATAATCGCGATAATCTTTCTATAAGATTTTAAATTGCTTTGTCAACAATCCTGTTTCTTTACCACGTAAGTTGGAATTGTTAAAAAGGTTGCTGTCCAAGACATTAGGATGACAGGAATGATATGAATTCCAATAAGATGACATGACCAAGTAATTGTTTTGCATTTGTTGTTGCAAGGCATGCTGTCATATCTCAATTGATACACTGAACACAATCTATGTTTATCATGATGCTTTGTTCTTGTTACAATAAGGAGTTGTGGGGGAGCCAGATGTATAAAGCGTTCATTCATGATGCCAAAGACATGGTTTGATTCTGTAAATGGACACATTGTGAGAAACACATTTCTGGTGTCCCTCACAATAATATTGCTGGAATATTGCTAGAAGTGGTGTAAAACCATATTCGCACACTCTCTCTCAATATATATTATGAAAACCTCTTGTCCAACACAAATCTAGAATAAAATATAGAGAGGTTACTCTCTATAATCCAAAAGAAAAAGAAATATTAATATATTTTCAAAATAACATTCAATTCAAATCAATGTTATTTTAACAATATCATGACATCAATACTTGACATGATGGATCATGATTCATATGACATGCTTGTCGCCACGAGACAAACTAGTCACCTGTAATTATCTGCCCTCTCAGTCACCCGTAATTATCTGCCCTTTAATTTCAACTGCGTTACGCCCAAACGATATCATGTGAAATAATAAACCAAATCAGAACCTTACAGATTATGATAAAGACAAACAAACATTATTCACGCAAATACCAGCTTGAAGATCCTTTAACATGTTTGACTTATAGATATTACTAACAGATTTGTAAAATATGTTCTATGGATACAGAACATCCTATATTCTTAGGATCATATAACTGACTTTATTGGCTACGCACTGATGCATCAATTAATCAATGCAGTCTGGTAAAGAACTGATACTGAAGGTACTTGAGATTACTATACTTTGAAATCAGGCACCCAGTTCTAATCCAGCTCAAGGTACATACTTTGCAACGTTGTCAATATAATTTGGGATTCATTCATTAGTATCTTTAACATCTGGATAAAACCAACATCTCCAATACATTCAGTCCAGGTATGCAGTCAGTACTGGTTACTAATGACCACTTACTGTTTGCTTGTGATCATTGGGAGATCCATCAGCCAGGTCTCTCTTATTGCTTGCCTTTGTTGAAAGTTGTGTCTTGCTGACATAATGCACACCGCCAGGTCTAGCGTCTCCTTGTCATTGCCTGCCAGTAATTGGATATGTTAACCCCTGAACATATGAATACTAGGGATGATACAATTCACTCGCATATACAGTGAATGTATTCATAATCCTTTACAAGTTCAGTTCATTATTCATGGTCATGATAATCAAATATTCACAAAGAACAATTGTTTATGACTTGAACTTGTCTGTTACTTATCAATGCAGGACATGCAAAGTAGAAAATAAGAAGTCATGCAGTAGAGGGATTTACTGCGTCCTATACTCATAAAAATTGACAATGGACGCAACGAAATTTATTAGCGCATCCACAGGGACGCAGAAAAAGTCCAAATACTTTTTGTATAAATTCCAATCAAGTAACAATAAGTTATCACTGAGTTTGCAACTAGCTGGGTTATGGTATTATTTGCAATTTGATGTGATGATCATGATACACAATACATTATCCAGCCTCATGTAAGAATGTCGAGTTTTGAATGGTTCACGTGACTCTGATAAAATACCATGTACACCCATCACGATCCGCGAGCAGGGAGTACAAAAGTCATATGATCCCTCCACGCGACCACGCGAAGTGAGAAAAGCATGCATCGCCAAGCCTTTAGTAGCGTGCGCTGCATTGAGGTCAGTCGATCGGCTAGATAAATGCGTTATTACATCCTGTCGAGGGAAATACGGGGGTTTTATCTGTCCCTCGTAAAGTTGTATTCCCCGAACCTCCTGGTTAGAATTGATCTTCAGTATGCTTGTCGTAAGTGGTGTCACGGGATCGGGTAGTCAGGCTCGCTGACTTAGTTGACACATGTCATCAGTTCCCAACTGCGTAGATTGAGGCTCATGCTGTTGATCACTGGAGTCTCTGGTCCAGACTCGATTATTAACAGACCGCCGCCATACAGCTGGAATATTGCTGAGTGGGGCGTAAAACTGAACTCATTCACTCACTTACATTGATCGTTAATGACAACCACTTGTTATCCTGGGCCTGTCTAGAAAATTAACTGCCCGCTGTGATACAATGTCAACACATGCCATCAAGATAAGTAAATCATGTTAACAATTACACATGACATATACAGTATTAACGCATTTGAAACGTCATCAGTAGATATTTCGGACGAAATTACTTACCATGTTTTTCAACACCTTTCAGCGAGTCCAGTACATAGTTGAGGAGGAGAGAAATTATAAATCCGCTAAGAAAAACAACTAAAAACGTACGCGAACACATTGGTCACACATTGACGCCAATGGGGTATTTAAATCAGCTGATTCCCGCTAGTCTCACAACACATGTGACAAGTGCCCGGAAGTTCATTTGGAAGCGCCCTCTATAAACATTGTGTGCTTTTTCAATTCCCGGATCAGCGTATAACCGAAATGCACCAGTTTATACTTATATAGTATATTTTACGGGTTTTGGATGAATATATTATACTGCAACATATATACCGATATGAATCTATCGTCAAAATCAAAGTATGTAACGGAATGTCTAATGAAGTAAGCTTGAGAATATGAGGTATGTTCAATCAAAATCGTATTTGCTGCTCGCATTTTAGCAACAATGGCCTCTCCATATAGCGTCGTTAGCAGCGCTTAGTTACTGGCATCGTTCTGTGGTTTTCTCTCGTTTTTGAATTCCGGGAACCATACGGTAGATATGTGTGACATCATAGCGTCTACTTAATCATATGAATCTGTATGCATTTTTTTAATTAAAAAAGTGCAAGCAAAATGACCAAGTCGCGTAGCATTTCCCAGTGGTTTGGTTAATATTTAGTCCAGCATATAACTAGACGACTTTGCACTATACCAAGGTGTGCTCGACTGGAATACGAGTTTATTCATATGAACTAGTTAATATTATACCCCGGTAATAGGAGTGAGATTGGTCCTATGAGATCTTATGTAGCATCTTTGAAGCCAACATCCCCGCCTTAAGGTAGATTTTTCACAAACCATTTCAAAGTCATTTTATCTAGTAATTAAAGTGATTTTTTCTTTAATCTCCAATTTCCAGTAACCAGAAGACAACATAAGATTACTGCATTTAACAAGGCTGTCTAAATTTCATCATTTCAGGTGACATCCCCCACTTCAAAATACATCGAAAATGACTCTGTCGACATCTGACTTCTCTGAAGTTCTTCCCCAGGAGCTTTGTACGAAAGTGTTGACATATCTAGAACCTAAAGACCTGGCCAGTTTCTCACAGTGTTGTGTGAAATGGAGGGAGATGGCAAATATAAATCCCTTATGGTAAATAAAATGCACCACATTGTTTACAGCATTATGCATTATGAGACTATTATGAAAATGATGCCAAGAGTACATTCAAACATGTTTTCCTCACCTTGCATATACTTTAGTGAGATAGATATAGCCGAAAAGCTGCTTTTTTCACATTTTCTTTTAGTTTTATGAAACTAGAGACCATATAATCTTATGTGTTTGCTGGTGAAACTTTTTACCTTTCGGTATGTATTGTAGAGTATTTGATATTGTAAGGGAAATGGCTAGAGGGGGTGATGATGATTTTTAGGGGGTGGAGGTGGTGTTGGGTCACCATTTTGTACTGGGTGGGGTGGGGGTGTTAATCAATTTTGTACACATGTACTAGGGGGTGTCAGCAATTTTGTTCATGACATGCAAGGGGTGGGGGTGGAGGGCACTTACTTTGTACCACAATTTTAAGGGGGTCATTCACATTGTACATGCTTCTCCATATAAATCATCATATAACACACACACGCACACATTATTTGTCATGATCATATCTATTTCCTTAGTAATAAGTTTGATTTTGACTCATATTAGTAAATTTGCCCAGACCATATCTCTGAAACTACCAGGTAATTATTAAAGACACTTTGCACAGATTGAAATCAGGTTATTAAATATTTATTTTTCAGAAATTTTCTCTTTTCAATTTCCATGGCAGCAAGTTCACTTTGATTTAACTCTCACCAATGTGCTTTTCCTGAGTATATCTTCAAAACTACCACTTTTCTTCAGTACAAACACACAACTAAATTGTTAACTGTTGCTGATACACAAATACAAAGTTCCAAATCTCAATGACATGGTATTGTTTCTATAGTTCAATAACTACTCAGCGAGTAGTTAATTAGTTAAGAATTCTTCTTGTCAGACAAATCATTTTTGTAGGACACTGTTTCCATCAGATGATTTGACCTTTTGAATTTGTAGACTTTGGGGGATTTATCATCTTCTGATGACTCTTGTTCAAGTCTAAAATCAATACTTGCAACAATTTTCTTATATCACACCTCTTGGCCACCTGAACATGAAGTACAGCAACCTAGCTGTAGAACAGGAAGAGATGTGAGTCTGGCAAGACTTCCACATCCTAACATGTTGATTTTTTGTCTGGGTACACCTATTTTCTTTAATGTGTTTTTTGAGTTCATTTCATGCACATTGTTAACTTATTCAGTGTAATGATTATATTTTCTAATATTTTAAAATTTTCGAAATTGTATTCTTTTTTTTCACATGTCATTTAAGATTGCAGTTTGAAATTTTGTATAAATTATTACCATCCTAATCATCATGAAGAAGCAAAGACCATGAAATGAAATGAATCAGGCTTTTAGCTGTGAAAGACATAACATCTGCAAATATCATCCTGAAAGCTCCAATGAATGTCTAGTCACACACAAAAATGTTTAGTATGTTAATAAAGGGATTTAATATCTTTATATGTTTGAGGCACTCCCATGCATTCAAAACCATGTTGTTAAAACATTGCTTGGGATGACATTTATCTCCCCTCAACAGACCTAAATGTAACACACATTTTCCTCAATGAAACAGACCACTCTCACACACACATACATGTAGACATTTTGGTACATAAAGTGACTTTGCAATGAAATATTACATCTTGTGCGTGCATGTGTTTGTAAATTTAGTTGTTCCTGTAATGAACGGATGTTTGTAATATCCCCAAATACTCAGTCTTGAATGAACTCTGCATGTGTCACTATACTGTTCTTTCATTTGCTTATACTTGTCACTGCATGTCTACTGTACTCTCCGTACTGCATGTGTAGGCTACATCACTGCATGGTCAGACACTGGCTCAAGTTTGGTTTGCACACCGACATTCTCCATGAAGAAACTCTCTACCCCAAGGCTAGCAATGTGTCGGGGACCTCGCCTACTTTCAGCCTTCAGAGTGAGTTGATAGTCACAGTGATTACTGAAGAGAGTCTAAACATCCAGATTATCAGTGACATACAGTGAAAACCCTGGTTATCCAATTTGTCTGAGTTAGATTGTGTAGAATAACAATTTTCTTAATTGATTTGCTGAACACATGTCATCATATCCCAGTTATATAGATCAATGCTCATGATGCTGATCTACCAGTGAAGATCTGGGTTAGAACTGGTCTTCAGTAACCCATGCTTGTCATAAAAGGCGACTAACGGGATCAGGTGATCCAGTTTGCTGACTTGGTTGACACATGTCATCGTAACTCAATTACGTACATCAATGCTCATGATGCTGATAACTGGATTGTCTGGTCCAGGCTCAATTATTTACAGACGGCTGCCATATAGCTTGAATTTTGCTGAGTGCGGTGTTAAACAACCAACCAACCAATCATGATGCTGATCACTGGATTGTCTGGTCCAGACTCGATTATTTATAGGCTGTCGCCATATAGCTTGAATATTGCTGAGTGTGGCATTAAACAACAAACCAACCACCCAACCAATCATGATGCTGATTATTGGATTGTGTGGTCCAGACTGAATTATTCACAGACCGCTGCCATATAGCTGGAATATTGCTGAGCGTTTCATTAAACAACTCACAAACACACTGTCTGCATGGACCTTCCTAAAGTTGACACCTGTTTCTTTTCATGGCATGGTTCTAGAGTAACAGTATTCCACTATATACAGTATATTTGGACAGTTTAACTGTTAGGTTAGAAATCAGCAGAACTAAAGATTTACTGTTTGTACCTCTTTGATGCTGGAGGATCAGATTTGCAAGTTCCAGGGTAGAAGAGGTCCTCAGTACTAAGACTTGTCATATTGAAAGTCAACTTATGATGAGTGGTTAGTAATAGTGGGAATTTGTTTTCTGTAATTGTTCTTTAATAGTTTTATGTATATTTAGTATGGTGCCTTTGATTGATCACCAGAACTGTGAAGTGTGCTTGTATTTCAGTTCCCAAGGACAGCAAGCTGAGTCCTATCTGTAAATGGAAGCACATATACATAAGTGTGTGTCATCTTCACACCAACTGGGCTCAAGGTCGGTACACAGTGTCCCCCATATTCAGAGGTCACAAAGAAAAAGTCACAGCTTTGGATTGTGACAGTGAGTCACTTGTCTTATTCTTAAAGATTTAACTGATGCATTCAATACACCATCTTTTGAAACAAACAAAGCTTCCAAGACACTTAGTGTTTAGTGAAGGTGACATTTTGTTCTTTATATTGTCTGTTGATAAGCATGACAGAATTAACTGGGTTAAAATATACACAAGATTTGGGATTGCCCATTGTTTGTTTTTAACATACAGGAATCATACTTCCCTGAAAGCTTCACTTGCTCACAGAGAATATAGAATTCTGAAATTTGGAAAGAAAGTTCTGTATATGTAGACATAATTTGCTATGGAGTCTTTTCATGGTAATGTTGTAGTTCATCTGTTGTAAACATCTGCAAATTCAAAACAAAATGTGCACTGGTGAATAAGATGAGGTCAATACAGTATTGAGAACTAGAGGAAGAAATCTTGAACTGCAGAGTGTTGTGGTCCTAGTTTATTTTTATGATTTGTGAATTCTTGAAACAAAATCTAGGGCCAGGTGAACATGTATTTATACAATGCCACCCCATTAATCAGCATGGTAGCTTTCCCTTGTATAAACACCCAGATAAACAAATAATAGGTAAAAGAAATGTCTCTCTGTAAGAGTTTTGAGCAGTAATGTCCAAAAGGTAAAGTCTTCAGATGAACATAGCCGATGTACTTCCCTTGTAACAATTCCTCTCACTAAAGACAAAACAAATACAGTGGAAGCTGTCAAAACCGGCAGCTGTACAATCTGGCAAGTTGTCAACACCGGCATAAAATCTCAGTCCCATCCGTGGCTGGTACATTTATCATTATTCAAAAGCTCTGCAATCCGGCAGCTGTCAATTCCACCATGAAATGAGCAGCCCGAATATGTGTTCACACAGTAATCAGCGCTGCCTAATCCGGCGTATGGCACACAGTAATCAGCGCTGTCTAATATTGCACACAGTAATCAAGCTGTCTAATCCGGCGTATTGCACACAGTAATCAGCTGTCTAATGTATTGCACACACAGTAATCAGCTGTCTCTAAATCCAGCTGTCTAATGGCACAGTAATCAGCTGCCTAATCCGGTATATGGCACACAGTAATCAGATGTAATCAGCATTGTCACCAGTTAAGTAATCAGCGTTGCCTAATGCATTGAAACTACATGGTCTGCCGACTAAAGACTAATTAAATCTGTCTAAAGTTCAGCATGGATAGACGTATTGCACACAGTACATGTAACTAGTGAGTTGACATGTTTTATTGTGATACAACAATGTAGTATATGCCTAAGAGTGACAAAACAGGTTCACTTCTAGTAATCAGCTGAGGTAAGTTAGGCCCGTGTCAGCTCATTACTAATCAAAGACAATTAAATCTTAGTTCAGCATGGATGCAGTCTAAACTAGTGAGTTAACATGTTTTATTGTGATACAACAATGTTATTTCTTCAGTTCTGACAAGTGCTGGTTTAGACAGCTTCCACTGTAATCATTTTAGAAGCATTATTATCAGTATGTTGTTTGTATAAGTAATCCAACTGATGTGTTTATTTCCAGACCACTGTTTAGTGAGCGGCAGTGAGGACAAGTCGCTGCGTGTGTGGGACATCCAATCTACAAGTTGCATCCATACAATCAACTGTCACTCCGACACTGTCACTGCTGTCAAGTTAAAGGTAGGACAGTCATCATAAACAGTTAAAAAACATGTTTCATTTTGAAAATTGAGGCCATAAACAATGGTTTACTATCATTTTCTCCAGTATTTGGTAAAGGGAAATTCAACAAAGATTCAGGTGACATATTGTGTCTTCACATTTTGTTGATTGTGATTATTTCAGTACCTCCTTATTGCCATATGCATATTTGCATTTTGACAAAGAAAATCTGTAGCCTAAAAAAGTAAATTAATTTGGTGTATTCTGAAGACAATTAGAGGGAAAAGACTTACCGGTACAGTACCAACTATGTCACATTGCAAGATAGTTGGAATGTAGCCAAAAACAGCCAGTGAGTGAGTGTAAAGATAAATTATAAAGCATAAATTCACAAATAGAAATTGCTGTTCACCTGTTAGAATCTTTTGTCAATGGAACTTAACAGGTATATGTACATGGTTGACTTCTTGGAACTCTGGATAGGAGGGTGGAGTTTCATATGTTGGAGTAAAGATACAGCTTCTGTCAAATTCAGTGTAAGCGTGATCAGTTCATTTTATACTGAACAGTTTTTACCAGGGTTGAGGTAAAACAGTTTCCACAAGGACATTTTGTACCCAACTTTTGAAACCAACATCAGGTAGCCAATAGTGGGGTAAAAGGGTGTCTGGTACCCAGGTAGTAAACTTTGACTTGTCCAGTCACTTTCATGCTGCACTTTGTTGTGTGACACATCTATTATGTAAATAAGTCATCTTAAAACAGACTAAAACAATTGTCTGAATACATTACTATCGACCTCAATATCATTAGATTTGAATTCTATATTTCAGAATAACATGATAGTGACTGGCTGTGCAGATAGTAGTATCCGAGTTTTGAATTCTTCATCAGGAAAGCTGTGTTTCTCTCTTCAAGGACACAGTGGAAGCGTAGATCACATTCAGCTCTCCGGAGACAAAATCATCAGTGCTGGAACTGACCGGTATGGAATCTGATGTGATGTATGTCGATATATGAAGCATATAAAGTATCATTCATGTTAACTAGAATCTTTCAACATGGATTTTAGAGGTTCTATATAAGTGCCTTTGTCTTAACTTTGGGTCTGCCAGGGGCGTAGCTACCATTATAAAAAAAAGGCCGGTGTAACAGGCCAAACTTTCCCCCTGGCCAAACCTTCCCCAGGTTTGAAGATTAAGCCTAGGGGGTGAAACTATGGTCCAGGACAAACTTTTCCCGGGGAAACTTTAGCCTAGGACAAACTTCTCCCCCCTAGGCTTAATCTTCCTGGGTAAAGTTTGTCCTAGGCCAAACTTTCCCCACCCTTGAATCATCTTTAAAGGCTACTTGTTTCAAACCCTTGTTCTTATATCAAAAGGGGGAGATTCTGGCTAAGGTAGGCTATTTCTTCCCCATCCTTGTTTTCATGTTTATGTTCGTCTTGAAATAGTCAGAATCGAAAACAAGACATAGCTATTCATGTGAACACATTGATAAGATATTCATGTTGATGTCAAGTTCCATGAACAATTTACAGGTCATCTTCATCTTCATATATAATATGCATGTACATGGTTCACATTTTGTTTCAATATCCTTATATAAGGTGTGATTAAAAAGAAAAGCAAGCATACAAGCAAAGATATTATATCATAACTATTGTTATATACTATCATTTACTTATTTTTATGCTTCAATAATTTACATATCCCCACTTACTCCAAATTGGCTTACCTTAAAATCATTACTATATTCGAAACTTTAACTAAATACCCAGTTTTTACATGGATGTCCATATCCATTCAAAATTTTATTCCCTTACTCATGGCTGTAAATATGGCATCCACTTCGTTGACATCAACTTAACAGTTGGAAGCAGATGTTAACATCAACACAACAACAACAACCCAACACAATATCTGTATCAAATGCTGTATCATCCATCATTCCACTATATTGCCTTATTCTATATTCAAAAGACAAGGTTTGGTAAGGGGTATACTTGGCCCATGGATATCTGAATCATATTTCATTCACCAAAAGTGATTATGGATTAGTAAACAAGCTTATGTGAATAATGTTCCTTTACATTTATACATAAATACAACAAATATTAGATAATAAACAGCATGATAAGAGAGCAAGCAACCTGTGTATATTACATCTTATTTACCCATCAAATGTGTGATTGAATGTTTACATCTTAAGGTGACATGATTTGGAAAGCTGAAGAACTAATGCAATGTGTCTTCATAGGAATGGCGGCAGGAGCTAGATGGATTTAGAGATATATGCCTTTCAAACATTTATGTATTAAAATCACTACACCCAATTCAGAAGCAAAAATGGACTATTTGGCAAAAATGTGTATCAAAAGATAAGTAAAAAATATTGTTGGTTTATAAGAGCAAGGGTGGGGAAGAAGTAGCCTAGCTAGGCCAGAACTCCCCACTTTTCCTAGAAAACAGAACAAAATATCCCAGTTTAAACAGGGGGGAAAGTTTGGCCTAGTGGGGGAAACTTTAGCCTAGCCCAAACTTTCCCCGGGGTAAGAATATCCTAGGACAAAACCTCCCTGGGGAAAGTTTAGACCAGGGAAGAATGGCCTGCTACACCGGACTTACACATGATTGTTGCTAAAAAGGTTAGGCAAGCCCTCAATAGGCCACCAACTTCTAGAATGCCACTCAAACAAAGCCCTCAATACTATCTAAATATAAAGCTTTGCAACCTACCCGGCTTACACAGGAAGATTTGCTTGCTACATGCCTGTCTGCGACTGAATACTGTATATGTGATGACTATTCGTCCAGTTCTACATTTTTGATAGCTTTAGGTCCATCATCTAGACTGCTTTTGGGATTCCTGCAGGCCCATCTCTCAATACTGCATTTGCTGTCGCTGTAGATCCACCTCTCGGTAGTGTATGTGGATTTTACATTCACATTGTAACTTATATAATTATGTAACCATGTGTTTTAGTCATTCATTTCTGTTTTCGCAGGACTGTACGAATCTGGTCAATCAAGGACAGGAAATTAATTTGCATTTTACGTGGACATACAGATGAAATTGAGGTAATTTGATTTGTTAATTTTGCTTCCATTCTCTTTTCACATTAATGAAACCTGCCTGTGTGTTTCCCTGGCCTGTACAAGTCCTCAGTACCCCTTGATGATTGTAAGGGGGCAACTCAAAGGAAAAGCTTGCATGTAGAGTGTGAAGAGTTGTTCCAAAATGCTGCCTGCCTACTTTAGTTTGTGTGCGTGCATGCGTGTGTGCATGTGTGCGTGCGTGCGTGCGTGCGTGCGTGAGTGTGCAATTGAAATCTGATCACCTTGTAATAAGCAGAAAACTGTAATATTGAGTACAATTCAGCACAAGGACTTCCTGAGATGACTCAAGCAAGAGGCAATACCGTAGTTCATATATGTGGCACCTACACCAATGAGCACCTCGGTATGTCTTGAAAACTATGAAGAGGCAATGACTTCCTTCCCATGTGCAGTTCTTTTGTAATATTTTTTGACAGTCAGGAAAAATTCGGATGTATTTCTTATTGAAAACAAAGTGGAATAAATGACAAAGAAGCATTCGGTGATGAGTTCTATTCTTTGTTTGACCTGATTGTGTTTCAAGGTTTGTGAGCACCAAGCCAATGTTCATGGGATTCACCCGAAGCGTCTGCATCAAAGACCAGCATCAACTTTGGGCTAACCTCCCACATAAAAATATTCTTTTACAATAATATTTTTTGTTTCAATGACTTTATTTCTTTCTTGGTTACAGTGTTTATCAAATTGTGGCAGTTATGCTGTGACTGGTTCCTGGGATAAGACACTGATGTTGTGGAATGTGGAGAAAGGGAGACTACTCTTCCAGCTCTCTGGTCACACAGAAGGTAATATAACACATGGCTTATATAAGGGCTGGGATTGGTAGAAATTTTGGGTCCTGGATACTTGAGGTAGCTTTATCCACTCCAACATGGGTTCCTGTTACAGCTTTGTTTACAGTTTATTACCTTACATGACTGTCATGGTGACTGGAACGTTTTAAAAAAGTGGCTTTTGCTCATATTTTGATCTAAACTCTGTAAAATGCAATTTTTGCAATGTGGAACTGATCTTTTAGGGTGGTGGCACATCTTCTATGTGGAAACACCTGGCTTCCAAACATCTGATTCTTTATTTGTACAGTCACATTACAGGATGTTTACATTTATTATAATCTGAAATAAACTTTATTTCAAATATATGCCTGGCTATGTCAGAGACAAATCTTCTTTGTATGGGAGATAACTCTTCCAGGCTTGGAGAGACTTGCAACATATGTTATATTTGGGATTACACTTTCTCAGTAAAGTACAAATTCTAGTACTTTTTGGATTGAGTCTCATCCGGGACTCAAACCCACACCCTCAGAGTCCGGCACCAAATCGCTGACTGAGTGGCTGAGCAGGTTAGGCGGCTGACTTTGTGTGCTGTTGATTTGGTGCCTGACTCTGAGGGTGTGGGTTCGAGTCCCAGATGGGACTCAATCCAAAAAGTACTAGAATTTGTACTTTACTAAGAAAGTGTAATCCCAAATATAACATATGTTGCATTTGACCACTTTCTCAATCATATTGTGTAATCATAGCTTTCGGCCGTGGGAGCTGTGCCAATTTACACTTATCAGAGGGTTACACAAAGTCCACAGTCTAGACTACCAGTTGTCCGACTTCCATTTTTGTGGAAGTCGCGGTGGCTGAGCAGGTTAGGCGGCTGACTTTGTGTGCTGGCGATTTGGTGCCTAACTCTGAGGGTGTGGGTCCCAGACGGGACTCAATCCAAAAAGTACTAGAATTTGTACTTTACTAAGAAAGTGTAATCCCAAATATAACATATGTTGCATTTGACCACTTTCTAAATGGCATTGTGTAATCATTGGAGAGACGTGTTCATTTGAATAACAGTAATTGTAAACGCATCAATGTGGATGAGTTGCTGCAGGGAAAATAGTTAGTCTTCACCCTTATTAATCCAGAAACCTGCCTTAACAGTTGCTTTTGGAAACGTAACCACACATCCATTAAGGTCCCTACAACCTATGCTGTAAGAGGTGATTAAATGGACCACTTCACTGTCCCACAAAGTGATCTTAATACTGAGGTGATCATAAGCCTAGGTTCAAATGTAGGAGTTATGGTCACATTAATGTTGAGATCGCTGTGTGGAACAGGGCGAGGTGTTTAGGGCTTGGTCACTGGGTTGATGGCATGCCATCATTTCCTGATTCTGTAGATTGATGGTCATGACTTCAGTCATCAGATTGGCTGCTTTACAGGTTACTGTCATATAGATGGAATGTTACTCAGTGGTAAGTTGCATTCAACAGCAAACAAAGATTTGAAGGTTGCATTCAACATCAAACAAAGATTTGAGGGTTGCATTCAACATCAAACAAAGATTTGAGTGTTGCATTCAACATCAAACAAAGATTTGAGTGTTGCATTCAACATCAAACAAAGATTTGAAGGTTGAATTCAACATCAAAGAAAGAATTGAGTGTTGCATTCAACATCAAACAAAGATTTGAGTGTTGCATTCAACATCAAACAAAGATTTGAAGGTTGCATTCAACATCAAACAAAGATTTGAGGGTTGCATTCAACATCAAACAAAGATTTGAAGGTTGCATTCAACATCAAACAAAGATTTGAAGGTTGCATTCAACATCAAACAAAGATTTGAGTGTTGCATTCAACATCAAACAAAGATTTGAGGGTTGCATTCAACATCAAACAAAGATTTGAGTGTTGCATTCAGCATCAAACAAAGATTTGAGTGTTGCATTCAACATCAAACAAAGATTTGAGGGGCATTTAATTTGTTCAGGCTATCTCACAGTTGTAGCCAGTTTCATTAAGTTTTTTGAATGCCACTTTCTCTGCTGATTATTAGTTTCCTGGAATTATCAGTGATGCTGGTTTTCAAGATATTGGTGTTACTGTAAAAATTTCACTCAGTTTCAAACCACACATGAAATTTGCATGACTGTCCCCAGCCTTGACCCACACAATGGCTGAAGGATATATATAAACAATATTATCTAAATTATATGTAAATTATATAAAGGAAGACTAGCCAACTCTATTCCAACTGAAATAAACATCATAAATCTTTTTTTAATTGAACAGGAGAGAAATATATTGTCGTAATAAAACCTGGTAGTATGGCCTCTTGTGTTCTAGATGTCCTGTTAAAAGTGACAGGCTGCTGTGAAGAGACATAAGTTCGAATTCGGTAATGTTTGGCTAAGGGTGTTATTGAAAGGAAATCCAAAGAGTTCAGTTCAAAAATCAATTTCATCCTCTTTTACTTCAAACATTAGGCCAGACCAATTTGATTCCTAATTTTAAGTATTTATTTTCTTTCTTGACATGATTTCAAAGTTTTAAAAGTTCATTTCTAGTTTTTTAGTTTTTTTGACAAACTTCTTTCCTTTAACTTAAAGTTAAGCAATTTCTAGAGTGATAGAGTGAACGTATAATTGTAACAGATAAATGACAGTATATGTTCTGTGGTAAATGTGTAGCTCTCTTGTGCCCACCATCCAGTGATCAACACATGAAGGTGTTTTGAAAAGGAAGTACCAAACCGAGTTTACTGCTTTTTTAACCAAACTCTCTGGGCCCTTTACGAAGCCAGGCCTACAGTCACAGCAGAACAATTATCAGTTTACTCTTTGACTTAATTTGGAATCATTTATCAACATCTCGATTCAGCTATGGCATGTGACAAAATTATTCTTGAATTGACACAAGTGCTGTCTTTTTCTATTGCTTGGTTTACAAAACACACCAAAATCATGTCATAAAACACTTGGTAGCCCCATGATCTTATACAACCCGGGTTGTGAGGTTCAATCATATTAGTGTCAGTGAATTGTAACAACATTCATAAAAGATAAGAGCTAATCGACCAGCCTGTTTCGCATGCCAGGTAATGCAATCATCACATGTTCTTTGAAGCTTCTCAGTAATGCTCTTCACAGAGTTAACTTTTTCTCTAGGCTGTTATCCAGGATGGTGATGAAGATGGCATTCAGTGGGATGGAACTTGCTCTGTATACACACTACTCATGCATTACCTATATAACAATACCTGCACATGGAGCAGGATCACACATGTTTAGATTTTAGACAAGTTATCAGTTTATAATAACATGGGGATTTTTTAAGTTGTTTGTTTTTGAAGCAGGCATCTAAGTGTTGCATTTAGGAATGATCCTGCATCACCATTGAAGTTGATGCATCAATACCACATTCTTGAATGTACATTAAAAAATTTACAAGACATGATTATTTCCTGTCACTGAAAATGATTGAGAAAATGTCAGATGGATTTGTAAAACAAGTATGTGAACTGGTCAGGTCTTACAATGACATAATCTGTGAAAATTGTAAAATCCGATCTTGAGAGAGTACTTTGAAAAGTTTGTAAGCTTCATTTTGAAGAAAGCGGTTCTTTAGGCATGTTTAGTAATCATCCAATTATACTATTCCAGTGTCCACAACACAAGGGACTGATTTCTATGATCAGTGTTCCATTCTGGGGTTGACACAATGACGAACAGGTATATACACCTTTGTCAATTTCATTGTATTTTTAATATTCAACACATTTTGGAAAATGTTCTCATCTGACACATGGCCATGATGACAATTGTAAGGAATTTAGTTTTATTTTGTTCCTTTTTGGATACTTGTCTGGGTTTTTTTTATCACACATAAAGAAAGCTTTGGTAGTAATTTATATGTGAAAAAATTCCTTTCCCATACAGTAATCTTGATGTTGAAATGAGTCAACTGATGAACCAGAATATTTATACCAATATGTAGTTCATGTATCAGGGATTACCTGTGGGTATCAGTGAATCTTGGATGTATAAAGTTACCTGCCACTAGTTAGGAACCTAACAACCCAAGCTTTTAGTCTCCTCATACAACTTCTGACTGATAAAAGAGCTGAATTTTAGTTCCTCAATCAGTGGGTACTACATGAAGATGGTACTTTAGACATACCATGGTATCTCAGTATTGGCACTTTAAAACTGGTATAAGCCAAAGCTTGTACAAGCAGCCAAAAGTGCATTAAAGTTTCTCTATAAGTGAATTAATGCCATATGAAACTGTAACAGTATCTGTGTCTGGCCAGACCCATTATCATGATTATATGCACCTCAGCATCCTGGTTCCTGTTGTGAAACCTTACCCCTGGATCTGTCTCCTAACAGAAACTGACCCTTAGTACAGGAAATATGGTATATACGATCCACAGTGGCTGTTGTTGGCATTCATTCTCAAATTATGCATTAAGGGTCAAGTATCTGAATCCACTAAAACTCATAAACAATGTAACCTACATAATCATGTTAATGTGAATGTTTCATGTCTGGAAAATTATTCCAAGAATATTTTCAGTGAATTTATTTAAATATATTTACAACCCTACTTTGATTGGGTTTTTATAAATTGTTTTCTTGGTAGAGTTGAAGTGGAGCCACAGACTAATTTTATTCTTTCCTCTAAGTCACTGTAAATATTTGACACCTTTTTAACAAATTAAATGTCTTCCCCAGTTTGATTCAAACTGTGCCCAGAGGTAAATGACACATTCCTCCTGGTGGGGATTTCACTGGGTAATCCATTTCATGTCTGTCATAGACTAGATCATATTTCATCAACATCTGTTCAATTTGGAGAATTAATGAATCTTTGCTGACTAATAATTGAATCACATTTAAGAGTTGATAATATGCAGGAATAATAGAATTATTTGTGAAGATTAATTGTTGGTTTTGTGTCAGCTCATTAGAAGCTATATCCCTATTGTTTGTAATGAAGTGTGCTGCAAA